ACAAATCACTAAGAACATCAGAAAAGATATAAGAGACTACAACACTAGAGAGATATCAAAGTCATAGAAGAGAACAAAAGTTTAAAAGTCTTCAGAAGGAAACAGCAAATAGGAAAGAAAAATATTTACAAACTGAAAAACACAAAGGGCGAAATAATAACAGATAAACAGGAAATTCTACAAACTGTCGGACAATTTTACAGCGAACTCTACAGCAAAACAGAAGAAAATGTTCCAACTGACAACATACCAAAGGTTCTAAACCAGGGCTCGGAAGACATACCAGATGTTACTGTTGATGAAATCAAAAAAGCTCTCCTACAAATGAAAAATAATAAGTCACCTGGCGACGACGGGGTCGTTGCCGAAGCCATAAAATTAGGAGGCGAGAAACTGATACAAATGCTTTCCATACTTTTCACAGAATGCCTTGAAAGAGGAACAACACCATCACAATGGCAAAATGCAGTGATCATTCTAATGTTTAAGAAAGGAGATTTAACAAATCTCGTAAACTATAGACCAATCAGCCTCATCTCACACATATACAAGCTTTTTACAAAAGTCATAACAAACAGACTTTCGAACAAAATGGACTTTTACCAATCATGCGAACAGGCAGGATTCAGGTCAGGCTTCGGCACAAACGACCATCTACAAGTTATTAAAAGCCTCATCGAAAAATGTATAGAGTACAATAAACCCCTCGTCCTAATATTTGTGGATTATGAGAAAGCATTCGACACAGTAAACCACCAGAAAATGCTAGAAGCTTTAAAAGAGTGCCGAATAGATCACCGCTACACCACTGTCATCAAAAATATCTATGATAATGCCACGGCATGCGTCAGACTCCATGAAGATACACACAAGTTCAACATTCATCGTGGAGTTCGCCAGGGCGACACCATTTCACCAAAACTGTTTACAACATTATTGGAATACATGTGTAAGCGTGCAAACCTAGACGAAAAGGGCATAAACATAAATGGAGAGCAGCTTAGTCACCTCAGGTTCGCGGACGATATAGTCCTGATAACAGACCGCATAGATCATGCCATCGAAATGTGCGAAAGACTCTACCATGCCTCTACACAAGTGGGTTTAAAGATCAATAACTCAAAAACACAAGTGATGACAAACCTTGTTCTGAGTGAGAACATCAACATAGCTGGAACAAGTATAGAACAAACATCAGCATACAAATATCTGGGACACGAAATTCGCTTAAGTAGAGATAACCAGACCAATGAACTAATACGTAGAATAGGGTTGACATGGGCAGCTTATGGAAAGCTAAGAGATGTTTTCCAATCAGCTCTTCCCATCTGCTTGAAGAGAAAAGTCTTCGATCAATGTGTGCTGCCGGTTCTAACCTATGGTGCGGAGACGCTAACACTTACTAAGACGTCCGCAAACAAAATTCGAACAACACAGAGGGCAATGGAACGGTCCATGTTGGGATTAACCCTGAGAGACCGAATACCCAACACAGAATTGCGCCGTAGATCGGGAGTAACCGACGCAATCAAAAGAATATCAACCTTAAAATGGAACTGGGCAGGGCACGTCGCGAGAACGAAGGACGGCAGATGGACAAAACGCATTCTTGAGTGGAGACCCAGACAAGATGCCTTTAGGAATAGAGGACGACCACCAACAAGATGGACGGATGACCTGAAACGGACGCATCAAAATTGGATGCAGGAGGCTCAGGACAGAAATTTGTGGGGTGAACTACGGAGGCCTATGTTCAGCAGTGGACGAGTATGGGCTGAATGATGATGATGATGATGATGAATCAGAGGCGGAGGTTTTAATAATTATTAATTAAATGCGAAACTATAATTTTAGTATTTATTTAATTAACGTCATCTGTCACTATTACGTCACCTGTTATGACTAGATGAGAAGCATACGTCTGTTTATTACTTTCCTCCAAATGTCACTATTATAACAATAACCGTTCAAAAGATACGAAGAGGGGAACGGACTTTTGACTAGCACTGTATGTACCGGTTCTAATTTGGTTTAAACATGCTGATAGTTGTCTGAGAACAGTAACAGTGGAAGGCAGAAAAAGCCAATCAAATATGGTAGTTAGATAATATTTTTTTTATTTTGAAACAACATACATTTTGTTGTACTAGTGCTTAATAAATCATTTCATTTTGCCACGGTACTGAATCGGGGCTCACAAAGTAGACAGCAAAGTGTCCTGGATTTCTGCGGCTGTCGTCGTATAGTTGTTGCTTCCCATATGTGATGTGATTGCACCTAAATTTCTAGCTCCTTCGTCGCTTCTCCACGATCCTAAAGTAATCGTATTAGTATCTACATTTTCAACATCCACTGTTCCTGTAGTAATATAATTTGTAGCAGTTGTACGAAGCCAATTATGCAAGACATATGCAGCTCGAACGATTAATTCTACTGTAGACAAATTGGTAGCAATTGGTCTTTCAAATATTTTAAATCGTGATGCCAATATACTAAAACCATTTTCGACAATTCTTCGGGCACGGGATAAACGGTAATTAAAAATCTTTTGTTTGTGTGACAGCACTCCAATTCTTGAATATGGTTTTAAAATATTTATACGTAGTGGAAACGCATCATCAGCTACAAAAACCGCATTCTCGGGAAAATTAAGTCGATTTTCATTTTCATATCTGGTCTTAAATTTCACGGTCGGGTCTACCACCTTCGTTTATTTTTCTTTCTGTTTGATTTGGTGATTTCTTCTCGAATTGCATAACAAATTAATTGCACATCTACATTAAGAATTTCACGTGACGCCATTTTGTACTACAATTAATTCAACATTCATCGACTGTCATGTAAACCTTTTTGCTTTCGGCGCAGATCGAATTATGGTCGAACGATCCAAATCGTTTAGCCCAGATCGACCCGTGAAAGCGACCCTTAAATATGCTAATTTTGTTAAGCATTGTCGAAAGATATTATGTCGTCCCTACCATTTCCAACTATCGAATGTGAAAAATCGGGTTTTTCAGATTCGATACCTTGTCCTTGCATTAAACGTGATACACCTTGTAGCAAAATATCGAAATTGTAGCTTGATCAGAAACGCGGGAAATATTCTGTCTAAACCATCGAATATGAACATTTTGTCATTTTGTTTTGGTCAAAATATCGAATATGCTGCAAACTGACGAAAATGGAATATTCGATATTTTGTTTTGTATAAATATAACTAAAGGCATATATATATGTACAATGCAATATGACGAATGTGTCACATTCATTATCTTCAGTGTTGTATTTGATACAGTTATTCAATTATAATCTGCAAACTGTCGAAAATACTAAACATTGCTGACAAGAACAAAACGCACGTGTTCACAATTTGTGAATTATTGCTTCCAAGAAGTTCTTTCGGTGAGGCACTTTATTATTTTGTTTTTTAATGTGTCACATACATTAGTTTCAGAGTTGTAATTGATAAAGTTATTCAATTATAATTTGCAAAATGTTAAAAATACTAAACATTGCTGACAAGAACAAAACGCACGTATTCACAATAATTGTGTGAATTATTTCTTCCAAGAAGTTCTTTCGGTGAGGAACTTTATTATTTTGTTTTTATCGGTTTTTCATTATCTGATTATTCAGTTAACTGGGTATAGCTAAACCAAAAACAGTGATGTTGTCAAAGCGAGAATTATTTAAAAAAATATTAAACAATGCTGCCTTTGGGACGTCGTCCACACAGTGTATATGGTACCAGTATCGGAAAAATGAAAATAACAAACTTTACATGAAGACTAGCATTGACGGAAACTTTTTATCTCTTGAAACCATACAAAAAAGAGGCAAACAAAATAGTATAAACTCTGTTAAGGCATACGACGAAAGACTCCCAATCACGGATATGAAGAAAAAAAACCTCTTGTCACTATGTGAACAAAACTTAATACCTAGGCCATACCACCAATATTACCAATCTTTACCAACATCTAATACTGCCAGAGATTGTCTTCCAGAACCTGACGCAACTGAAGACAATGATAACGTTGAATCTAAAATTTAAGACTTTACTTTAATTTATCATTATTTTACTACTGATTACTTGAGGTATCTACAGGACGTGAAGTTCCATAATTGTATTGTGATTATTTTTAACTTTTCTAATTACATTAATTTTCTATCAATACGTACTTTCATAAAAATACTTTTAATAATTTCTTTATACATGATTTTCCCATTTTACCCTATAACTTCAATTTTTAATTAAATTATTTGTAATAAACTTTGTAAGAACATTGAGATTATTTTCATTTTCCTCCTTTTCAATTAAGAATATTAATGTGTTAAAATTAGACCAATATGAACTGTCGAAAATGCCACATTCGCAATTTTGAAACATTGCACCAAATAAATGTGCTAAAATTATACAAATATGAACTGTCGAAAATGCCACATTCGCAATTTTAAAACATTGGACCAAAACAAATCATTGATTAACACAAAAAGCAAAATAACGAATGTGATTTTGTGGAAAGAAGCAAACGGTTAGCAGTTTTATTCTGATATCAATCTAACAAGGATCAAACATTAATTTTTAAAAATATAAAAAATTTTCCATTTGTCAAAGCGCTGATTTAGAATTCTCTAAAAAAGAGTTATTTTGCTCTCCTGAAAAGTACCACTTTTCACATTCGATAGTTGGAAATGGTAGGGACGATGTGCAATATAGTTGTTATTCCTATAAATATAAACAAAGTTGATCGTCTTCGGACAAGGTACAACACATGTAATACTGTTGTGTTTCTTCCAAATTACGATAAATGTCTAAACTAATGGTAATATGATGTTTATAATAGGTAAATGCTTGTACTTTTACACATTTTTGTAATTAACTTTAAAATGCGTATTTTGAACAAGAAAATTCCTTATTTTCACGTGATCATATTGATACGTAATCTATGAAGTTGTTAGTTTGCAAGGATACTATTCTGTTAATTATTAATGCATTACTGCAAGCTAGTAATATCGCAGACTACATAGATATCTAGAGTGTAGCGATTATTCGACTGTAAAATGCTAAAATGTTTAATGATTTTTTGCAGCATATTACAATTAAACTTTTTATTCGCTGAAGCTTTTGATTTTCAATTTCATCCTGATAGCAGGTTGTCTATAGTAAGTATGGTTATATTTTGATAATTATTTCTATTTCTTATAAGTAATAACTGGACAATTTTATATTTTACAAGTTATACTTATCACCAATCAATGCACTACTGCCGCTGGGAACAAAGGTCGGTTTATTTATACCGTCAAAGGTAACGTGTCGGGTCAAAGCAGACCAATTATCAATTTTTATCTGTCTTAATTTACTAAAGGATGCATTTTAAGAGCTTACCCTATGGCGTCCTCTTATTTTATGTAACAACTATGCACTAATACCTAACATGTAAATTCACAACACAGCACTATACTCTGTAGCACTAATTTCTTTTAAATATGTACAAACGTCTTCTTGTTTGATTCTAAAGTTTCTATCAGATATGTATGACTGTAAAATTTCTGTATATTGTCTGTAGACATAAAGGATTTGAGTTTATACAGTAAACCTTTATGAAATACTTTATCGAATGCCTTAGCCACGTCTAAAAATATTGTAGAGCAGACTTTCTTTTTCTCTAACGATTTCTCAATTATATTAGGTACTTCCATGTACTTGATCCATATTAGAGTGTTTATTTCTGAAGCCAAATTGGTGGTTCGAAATCAGTTTTTTCTCTTTTATTATCGGTTTCATTCTTTTTGGCAAAAGTTTCTTGAACAGCTTTTACATCACTGGTAAGAGTGATATTGGCCTGTAAGAAGAGACTTTCGTTGGTGATTTCCCTGGTTTTGGTATCATTATTATGTGCAGCTTATTACTGTATATCGTACTCCAGATGGTGATTTAGACAAATTCTTTACCATTATGGCTAAAGCTCTTAAAACAATTAATGTTCATAAACCTGTTATAATTACGGGTGACTTTAATGTCGATTTTAATGAAACAGATATCAGAGCTTTAAAACTCTGTAATTTTTTTAGATCTTACAATATTACAAAAAAAGTTAAATTTAATACTCGAGGTAATAGATGTCTTGATAATGTTTTCGCAAATATTGATGGTACCACAAAACCTGTGGATCTCACTCACACATCTGACCACAGAGGTATTTCCTTTCAGATAGCTTACTCATCCACAAATTGTGCAACCAGAGTTTGTTATAGACCTATCACAGATGAAGGACTCTTTAATATGAACCAGATTTTGCTAAATTGCAACTTTAATTTTGTATACAACGATAATTTGGATATTAATTTAAAACTTAAAATTCTAATTGATGTGTTATTAAATTCCATAAATATCTCTTTTCCAGAAAAATCTAAATTGCTAAATAAAACTAATCCAGGTAAAAAAGTAAACTGGTTCAATGACACTTTGAGAAAAATGCGTGAGATATTTCAATTTATTATAGCAATAAATAGAAACGATCCCATTGCTGCACCTAGAAGTACCATTATCAAACTTAGAAAAGAGTACAGGGAAGCCATCAAGCTTGCAAAAATTAATGCAAATGATAGGTGTATAAAAATTCTGGCAACTCTCAACAAGCTATGTGGAAAATTATTAATGGTAACAAATATAAAGATGTTTTCTTCACTGATAATTCTAAACTCAATGCAGATAGTTTTAATAGCCACTTCTGCTTAACTGCTGAGAGAGTAAGAAATGAGCTTGAGGTTCCTCAGCTAACTCTTGATGACTATTTAAAGTATATACCACAAAAAAATATTCCATGTTTTAGTTTTCCGCCAGTGAACTTTAGTGAAGTTGACTTAGCTATTACAGAAATAAAAAATAGTAACAGCAAAGATCCTGATGAGTTTAATACAAAAATTATTAAAACAATTAAAGATATAATTGTTCAACCTCTAAAAACTTTAATAAATCAATCAATATTTTGTAATACTTATCCTCAAGTTTTCAAAACTGCAAAGGTAGTACCTCTGTTTAAGAATAAAGGCTCTATTGATGATTATAACAATTATCGACCCATTTCTTTGCTGCCCATCTTATCAAAAGTTTATGAACGAATTTTAAAAAATCAAATTAATCTACATTTTGAATCTAATAAACTGTTTGCCATAAACCAGTATGGATTCCAAAAAAATAAAACAACAACTTTAGCTATTGATAATTTCACTAGCAATGTTTTGGAATGGTTTGAGAAATATCTTGATACTCTTGCATCGTTTTTAGATCTTACTAAGGCTTTCGATTGTGCCACACATAGCATTCTGCTTAGAAAACTTCCTTATTATAATTTTCATAGTGATGCTATTCAACTAATTGATTCATATCTATCAAATCGTGATCAATATGTTCACTTCAACCAGTGTGATTCTCAAAAACAATGTTTGTTGTTTGGTGTCCCTCAAGGCTCGGTTTTGGGTCCAGTATTATTTCTTATCTATATTAATGATCTAGTGTACTCTCAAAATGAAACAGTCAACACTGTTTTATTTGCTGATGACACTACTTTCTATGCAAGCTATCATCCTTCTGAATTCGACACCCTTGATTACCAAACATCTGAAAAAAACTTATTCAATTGGTTTTTAACTAACCGTCTCTCTTTGAACAACTCTAAATCACAAAGTGTTAATTTTGCTCTAAGAAATAACACTTGTGTCGAAAACGTTGCTCTACCACAATGTGTAACCGGAGCGAAGTTTCTGGGGATATATTTGGATGCAGGATTAACCTGGGAACAACATATAGTTAATCTATCGAAAAAGCTTTCCCGACAACTTTTTCTCTTCAGGAACCTTGTACAAGTGACTTCCAGGGAAACTATTTTAACAGCTTATCATAGTAATTTTCATTCTCATCTGACATATGCTATTCTCTCCTGGGGTCACTCTTGTCATATCAATAAACTGTTTGCACAACAAAGAAAGTGTGTTCGTATTATCTCTGGGCTCTCTTATAGAGCAGACTGTAGAAACTCCTTTGGAATTTTAAAAATTTTAACTTTACCTTGTGTATACATCATGCAGTGTCTGTTGCACATTAAACAAAATCGTAGCCAATACAATGCGCATGTAGATTTTCACAATTATCCCACCAGATTTACCAATAATCTTATACCAGAATTTAGCCGTCTTGAGAGATCCAGAAATGGTTCAAGGTATTTAGCCATAAAATTCTACAACTTAGTGCCAGCTAGAATAAAAGCTCTTAATTTTCATCAGTTTAAGGCAAAAATTAAGAGTTACCTTATAGTGAATGCTTTTTTTACATATGAGGAGTATTTTACTTCCAATTTTAATTTGTTGTAATTGTTAACAGTATAATTTAAAACAATGTATCTATGTTTTGTGTTTATATTTATGTGTGCATATTAACTATATTGACATTTACTTTATTTTATTTGACTTGTAAAAAATACTTATGTATTAATTTATTACCAATAAACCATCTATCTATCTATCTATTACCTCAGCTATTTTCCATAAATTTGGGACATATCTTTATCTAACAGCAGCACTAATTAGGTTGCTTATTTTTACTATGGCTTTGCTAGGCAGGTTTTTTAGTAATTCTCCAGTTATTAGATCGTATCCTGGGGCATTCTTTAGATTTGTGTTTTCTTTTATTTCATCAGCTACTTATTTTGTCTTCTATTTGATTAGGCTCTATCCATATTTGATCATTAATTTGGTCTTCGTGTGGTTGGAATGTATTTTCTAAATAGTGGCAAATCTCTCTGCCTTTTGCTTATTGCTCCTGGCCCAACTACCATCTTCCAGTTTAATAGGTAGAGAATGGTTTGCTGGTCTTTTTAGCCTTTTCGTTGCTTTCAATAGGGAGTATTCAGGGCTGCTATCATCCGTCAATTCTCTCAGGTAAGAACTCATTGATTCTTTTGAGTTGTATTGTTCAAATTCGTTTTATCTTGAGGAGCTCTGGTTTGTTGCCACCTCTGTTTGTTAATTATCTATATCTACACAATTTATCTGAGATATTTTTAATAATAAAAAATCAATTAAGTGCGGTATCTTGTTCCGATGATTTGGCCAATGCGTCGGTCTACCCGTTGATATTGGTTCACACTTCTATTCTTTCATTACTGTCAGCAACTCGTTCCCTTTTGGTGTTGTCAATCTTAATCCTCATTGAGTGTGCTTTGCATTAAAGTTACCTTTAATGATATGTCTTCTTTCCATACTCTTCAGATATTCTTCATACTGTTCTTTTTTAATGGAATGCTTAGGGGGCTTTATATTGAACTTATAGTAATTTCGCAATTAGTTGTGAGCTTGACACATACTGTGGTTGCTTGTATTGGGACCGTGCAAGTTCGAAACAGCGACACCTGGTGTCGTAAATCAGCCAAAGTTACTGCGCTTTCATGTTAGATCGAGGTTACCGGATAACTGTCAAGGACGTGGCCCCAAAAAAGAATAAGAAGAAAAAGTAAGATTGAGGTTATGTCGGTATGTTATTAAAAGGTAAACGTTGATGTAGCGTAAATACAAATAAATATATTATTGAATTACAGCATTACTGTTAATATGGATGCAATAATAAAAACTGGATTTGAGAAAGTAAATCACCAAATAACTTTTCAACCAAGCACGAGTCAAAGGGAAAAGCTTTAGTAGTGGCAAATGTGAAAAAATAATGGAAGAATTATGTGGAGTGGAAGAAATAAGAAAAATAAATTACGATAAATAATGCTAATGCATAAATTAGCAGGTTAAGCCCATGATATCATCATATTGGTTTGAACAATTAATTCTTTCCCTGTAAACTTTTGGACAGCGAATATATCTTAATGCATCTTCAGAAAAACTTGAACTTGCATTTTTGTAAACTTCAAAAAAAAATAAAATTCAAACATTAAACTTGATTTTTGAGTTAAAATGAACTCTAAGTGAGTGTTATGAAACTAAAATGTACACTTAAAAGTGAACTTTTATTTATTATTTATTTCAAACTGACTTTAAAATTTTGCGCAAGAATAATGCATAATTTAGGTTATGTTACTTATGCTTTTTTATGATATAAATCCACTATTCTCTTTGTAGTAACTTTGTGCTTTGAAGTTAGAAACGAATAAATCTTAAATTGACAATTTTTTGTTGTATTTTTACAATTTATAACACAGCATTTCCTAAATCCCATTTTCTTCAGTGACAGAAGGTGTAAATAAACACAACGAATACGAAATATGACAATTGACAATATGAATTTATGAAATCTATAATCTATGAAATGTGCAGTAAAAGATGCAAGATTTCTCCACTACTCACGCACGATCGTTTCTCGTATCCCCTTCAAGTACTTGCACGTCGCCAATATGTTCAGTTTCATATTTTAGCTCCTCATAATGCTGAATATTATTTTTTATTATTATTGTGCTGCCTCCTTTTACTGCATTGTCAGGATATATAGTGTAGTATATCTTGTATCCTCTAAATTTTATGAAAGATTGTTTAGTTGAATGTGTTTCGGATAGTCTAGGACTGCTTGTAGCTCATTTTGATGTGGTAACAGTCCACTACCATTCCATTCCATGATCCCTAATTGCTGTGTTCCAATCTGATCACTCTTACTTCTATTTATTGTGCCCTCTATCTTAATGAGATTTTATAATATTATTTTCAATGTATTGTCGGTTTATACTTCTTGATGCGACTGTTTTGTATTGTTTACTACATCACTATACTTTTTATTTTCAGTGATAGCTTGGTTTTTCCTTCACATTACCCCTTTGTGGGGGTTTGGAGCACTTTCTTTACTTGTCCTCTGATTTCTCAGCTTTTGTATTTTTTTGACTACATAACATCCGCGGTAATTTGCAGTAATTTTGGTTTGTCTTCTGGTGGTTTCTTACAACCTTTTGTAAGGTGCTTACCGATGCATTTAACACATCTTGATTCCTTGTTACAATATTTCCATGTATGACCATAGGCCTGGCATCTTTTGCACTGCCTTTTTAAACTTATTTAACTTTTAAATTTTTATTGGTATCGCTCTAATCTTATACTGATACCAATCGACCTTTTCTTTGTTATTTATAAAACTCAATCACATATTTTATGTTTTGTATTTAGACTCAGACCTTAACAAAATACGGCTATCCAGTTGAAACCCATCACGTAGTTACCGAAGACGATTATATTATTACGATATTCAGAATACCACATGGCAAAAATTCTACAAAAACTCATAAATATCCAGTAATATTGGTACCAGGAACGTGCGGCTGCTCAGAAAACTTTATCGCAGCTGGTATAGACCATGGTATAGGTTACTATTTATCGGATAGAGGATTTGATGTCTGGTTGACAAATACCAGAGGAAACCTCCACGCTAACAAGCATAAGACAATGGACCCTGAGAAAGATAGAAAATTTTGGAATTTTGGGTAAGTTATAAAACGTATAAAACTAACACAATTACAAAACTTTTACTTTAAGGTAACATCGTCTTGAAATTCTAGTCCTTTTTTAAAATCCTCTTCTTCTTCTTCTTCTTCTACTTTTTGTAGATCTTTCGATCTGTTTAATTCTGAAGCTGCCTCTGGTTAATTTCTTGGGAGGTAGATTGCCAACTATTCCTCCATCTTTTAGGTGGTCTTCCGGGGGGTCTTGAACCGGGCGGATTGTTTTCTAGGGCAATTTTTGGGAGTCTATTCTCATCCATTCGTTTTACATGGTTGTACCACATCCTCTAGCGCTGCCTTCCCCATCTTACAATATCTTGAATTTTGCACTGCTCTCTAATGTTTGTATTTCTTACCCTGTCTCTTCTTATTTTCCCCATTATTGTTCTTAGGGTTTTCATTCCGGCAACCCTTAGCATCTGTTTCGTTTTGTTGGTATCTTCGCGCACTTCTATGCCATATATCATGATCGGTCGTATGCAAGTCTTATAGATTCTAATTTTACTATCTGTGCGCATATACGGATTTGACCAGACTATCTCCCGCAGACATCCTGACAGTGCAGATGCTTTGTTGATCTGACTCCTCAGGTCCTTTACTGGGTCGTGGGTGCTTGATATATCTATGCCCAGATATCTGAATTGCATCACCTGTTCTATGGGGTTGTCCTCAACCACTAACTTACATCTGAGCGGATCTTTTGCTATTGTCATACATTTAGTTTTGTTGGTAGAGATGTTCGTATTTAGTAGTCGGCTTGTTTGAAAGAACTGCCTTTGGAGATCATCTTCTGATTCGGCAATAATTGCTGCATCGTCTGCGTAACACACCATACCAATTCTTTTGTTGCCCATTCTATATCCGAGATTAAGAGATGTAACTTTGTTGATAATTTTGCTCATGAGAACATTAAACAAGAAGGGGCTTAAACTGTCGCCTTGTCTAATTCCTCCCGGTGTTGGAATATTTTCAGTGAATTCGTCTCCTGCTCTAACTTTGGTTACGTTGTTGTTATTTAGGTTATGGAGTATCTTTGTTATACTGGTCGGTGTTTCATTTTCTATTAATATATTTAGAAGATTGGAAGGAAGCCATTATTTGTCCATTACACAAAAAAGGAGACAAAACAGAATACAGTAATTACAGAGGAGTAGCGTTACTAAATACCATATATAAAATCCTATCAAAATCGATAAAAGATAAGCTGGAAAAAGAAGCTGAAAATATAATAGGCGAATACCAGTGTGGATTTAGACGAGGGAGAAGCACAACGGACCAAGTACTCATAATAAGAGAGTTACAAGCAGAAAGCTATGAACACAACTTACCAACGATAGCGCTATTCATCGACTTCCAGCAAGCATACGACAGAATAAAAAGGAAGAAATTAAAAGAGACCCTTGAGGAACTGGGAGTTAGCAGAAAGTTGCGTAACATGATACTTCTTACTTTAGAGAATACAGAAAATAGAGTCAAAGTCAACAATCATGCATCGGACAAATTTATATTAAACGAAGGATTAAGGCAGGGCGATCCTTTGTCATCATTACTCTTCAATTTATGCCTAGAAAAAATAATGCGAGAAGCGAGAATTAATAGAGAAGGACTCCTATATCATAAAAGACACCAAGTTTTGGCATTTGCGGATGATATAGTGTTGCTGGCAAGAGGAAAAAAAGAGCTACAGGAGATAGTACAGAGAATAGTAAAAGCAGCAAAGAAAATGGAACTTTACATAAATGAAACTAAAACAAAATGTATGCAGTGGACAGATGATCAGTTTAAGGATGGACAAAAGTTTAAAGTAGAAGTGGAAGAAAGATTATCATACGAATTCGAAATGGTGGAAAGATTTACATACCTAGGTACAATAATATCACGTAAACCTAACATTAAAGAAGAAATACAAGCTAGAATAATGGCAGGCAATAGAAGTGTACATGCTCTTAGTGGAATGTTGAAAAGCAAGTTTTTATCAAGAAAGGCAAAAATACAGTTATACAAAACAACTATACAACCAATAGCAACATACTGCAGTGAGACGTGGACAATGACAAAAAATGAACAAAATCTACTGGAGATATGGGAAAGGAAAATCTTGAGGAAGATATATGGAGGAATAATAAGGGACGGTTTATGGATAAGAAGACCAAATAATGAGTTAAAGAAATTATATAATCAACCTAACATAATAGGAGTCATAAAGGCACAGAGACTAAGATGGCGAGGTCATCTAGAAAGGATGCCAAACACGAGGACTCCAAAAAGGGTACTAAACTACAATATAACTTCAAAAAAAGAGAAAAGGAAGGCCAAAAAATAGATGGAATTATGAGGTAGAAAAAGATATGGAAGAAATTGGACTAGACGACCAGAAAAGAAAAATGAATAACAAGAAGGAATGGAGAAAAGTCACATATCGAGCCAGAGAAGATCTCAGTACATAAAGGAAAGCGAAAATAAAGAAAGAACAAAATTTTTTAAGCCATGGGCCTCTAAGGCCTTTAGTGCTATTGTATATATATATATATATATATAATATATATAATATATATATATATATATATATATATAATATATATTATATATATATATATTTAGAATGTCTCCCAGGCGAACTCTGTCAAATGCCTTCGTCAAATCAATGAAGCAAATATAGGCTGGCATGCCGAACTCTATAGCTTTTTCTTTTATTTGTTTTATTATAAATACTGCGACTGTTATAGACCGCCCCTTTGTAAAACCTTGTTGTTCTTCAGCATTAGTGATTTGCTTTTCCAATTTGTCCTTGAGAATACCCGTGAAAAGTTTCATTGTTGTATTTAGGAGGGTTATTCCTCTATAGTTTTGTGGGCAGGTTTTTTGTCCTTTTTTAAATATGGGGATTGTGATACTATTATGCCATTCCTCTGGTGTTTCTGTTTTGTTTAATATTTTGTTAAATAGTTGTGCCAGTTTACTTGCAAGTTCCGGGCCTCCATATTTTAAAAGTTCATTGGGTATACCATCCGTTCCCGGTGATTTTCTGTTTTTTAGCTTTTTGATCTTTGCTTCTACTTCTTTGTCATTGATTGTAGCACTCACATCTGTTTCGCCTTCGTTTATATTCAGCGTTTCTTCAGCATCATATAGCTCTTTAAAATGCTGTTGCTATGTCTCTATAGGTACTCCTTTGGTCTGCACGAACTCGTTAACTGGTTTTTTCCTGTTGCGGAGCATTTTCCATACTTTCTTTTGGGCACCATATAGGTCGTAGTCCATGTCGCAAGTGAATTTGGCCCAATGTTCTCTTTTGATTGATTTTATTCTGGCGTTTACTTCGTTTCTTATTTGGACATATTCTGTATGAGCTTCTTCCGATTGCGTGCTTTTATATCTCAGGTAGCATTTGCGTTTTAATTCAGAGAGTTCTTTTACCTCTTGGCAAAACCACGGTTTGGTGTGGTTTGTCGCTCTCGTGTTAATTTTTCGCTTTCCAATCGCTTCTTCTGCTGCTTCGTTGATGCATTTCTTAATTTTTTGCCAAGTATCTTCTACTCCCCATTCGGGTTTTAAGTCGATCTCTTTTTTCAAAATCCATTACTGGTAATTTCTTAATATCATCTTAAAATTCTATTTCTTTTTTAAAACCAGTAAATGGTAACGTGTAAAAAAGTTTTTGTAATAATCTTGTAAAACATATTTTTTAAGTATATTTGTAATAAATATTATGTTTATATGAAATGTTTACAACTTAGAAGAAAATGAGGCCCCATTGCGTTACTTTGTCTCAAGAACAATTATAGACGATGACCTCTAAACATATTAGTAGGCCGAGCGATCCAACTAGCAATTCTTTTTTTGTTATTTTTTAATTACTATTTAACTGGGAATAAGCCACAATTAAAGATTTCCAAAGTGGAAATTGAATCGTCAATAAACGTATTTTTATCTTTAATTGTGGCTTATTCCCAGTTAAATAGTAATTAATTTAAAATGCCACAAAATATAGCTTCAGAACAATATTAAGAAATTGTTATTTCTTGTTATGTGTCTGTCCCATAGGATTGGATTCAGTTGTCTTATAAGTTTCTGGTTTGACCGACTCGATTTTTAATTTCTTCTTCTGTAGTACCTTTATTTAATATAATGAACCCCAGATATTTAAATTTATCGGTCCCCTTTATTTCACGCCCGTCATCCACTTCCAGATTTCTTGTTGGTTCTTGTGTTGTGTTCAGATATTCTGTTTTGTTAATGTTTATTTCCAGACCATTTATAATATATTCTTCTTCTAGTTTTCGAACCAAATAACTTAGATCTTCCTCGTCTTGTGCTATTATGACCTGATCGTCGGCGAAACTGAGGGTATACAGATGGTTGTTCCTTATGGGTACTCCCATTCCCTCACATTTCTTTTTCCATGGCTTTAGGGCGTATTTAAGAAATATTTTATAGAATGTAGGTAAAGTCGAGCAGTCCTGTAAAACCACCTTTCATGGTTTTAAATGGTTTTCCAAACTTGTTACCTACCTGGATTGTAACATTATTGTGCGTACATGGACTTCACTACATGGATCACCTTATATTCTACTTCTGTTTGTTGCATGGCTTCCCACAGTCGTTGTCTGGGCACAGAGTCGAATTATTACATTTTCTTTTATCCCCTTTCTTGAACATAGAGATAATATGGGCTGTCGACCATTCTTCAGGTTGTTGTTCGTTGTCCAAGGCTCTCTGAAACATGGTATGTATCATACGGAACAATTTTTCAGAGCGGTATTTAATTAGCTCGGGTGCTATCCCTCTGGGGAGTGCAGACTTATTATTTTTTATTTGTTTTATGTTCTTTTTTACTTCTTCCAATGATAAATATAAATGTTTCTTTGTATTTGTTGTTTGTTGTTTTTTTTTCCATGAATTTTGTTCGCTTTTCTGTCAGCAGTTCTTGGTAGTAATCATTTCATTGTTTGTCGCTTATGAAGTTAAATGTGTTTTTTCCT